GTGCATGCCTCTGTGCTGTATGTAAAAAAAGCAAGATTCAATTATAAAAAAAAGAATAATAATAAATAAAATAATAGTATATTTCGTCATTAGGCCGAAAAAAACTTTTCTGGCGAATATGAGGTTTGCAGCATGAGCCGAAGGCGAGGGATTAATAAAATAAATTTAGCCCTAAATAGTTAATTACTCATCAATTATTAACATAATTGGAAAAACTAAGAACAATCGGAAGTAATTGTGGATCATACTAATTTTTTTCGCGAGTACATTCCGTGCTATAAGTTCAGTTTCAGGGTCATGTCGCATTTTAAAAAAAAACAAAAAAAATTGAAGAATTATAAAAAAAAAATATTCGTCCCTGAAATTAGTAGTTCAATTCAAAAAAAAAGTCAGACCAAAAAAAAATGCTAGGATCCAAAAATGGAAGAGGAACTTTCCACTTCAAAAAGCACCCTCTTCAATACCCTCGAAGGAAAAAAGTCGGTTGCGGGACACCCTGTAGACAATCCTTGAGCACCATCGAGAGCTTTCGGTTGAGCGGTCAGACGATCCCGAAAACCCCAAAAAGTAGTACATCATCAGCCGTTGTAGAATCAACGTGTCGTTCAAAGTACATCATCGACGCATTACGTGAAAGTACATCACCTTCTCAAATTCAATGAATTATCAGAGACAATTATAAAGGACATTTAACAATTATTTAACAATTCAGTATATCAACCTCTGTATTAATAATTTGAGACGCTCAAAAAACTAGTTCAAAACAAGGTGTAAATTTTACGGTTAACGGATTGGCTCGATTCCACTAAAATAGAGTAATGTTTTATAAATCAGTGCTTTAATCAATTTCCGGCCTATCCTGAAACAACACCTCCCACATCCACCCTAAAATTAGATGCTCATCTCAAACAAATAGAGGAGAATGAGATCTACAAAAATCCTTTAATGAACTTTTTTTCATCTACCGTAGATTCAGAGATATTCATTGAACAATCATGTCCAGATTCAGTTGCTACTAAGTTTTTTTTTACAATATCTCAGCATTGAAGCAAAATATCGCTTTCTTATAGGGAAAAATGATTTTTACCAAACCTTTCTTGTAGGGAAAAATAAAAACTACCAAAAAGGCTATTACAAAAATCTCTCTACATATCTTCTTTGCATTCCAAGATATTATACAAAAACTAAGTTTTGGATTAGAGTGACACGTCTTGTTTCCTGTTTTCACCTCTGAATTCAATTCTGTGCTGGGTTAAGACATTCAGGTGTAACGCGTATGCTTTAATACACGTATTACAATATTATTTTAGTATTTTTACCTTAGTTTCGCAGACTGAGTTTTGGCAAAAATGCTTAAAAGCTATTCTCACCGTGACACGGGAGCCTGACTTCCTTTTGGACATCGTTTGACTGTGTAGGAGCATTGTCAATGACAATCCTAATACAATATTGGTGGCGAAAACCGCGAGAACGCTCATCTTAGCATTTTTGGGGCTGAAGCCTCTCTCTAAGACCCCTTGGTTTGGCAGAAGACGATAGGGAGCCGAAGTGGACAGCCGAGTCCAATTAGATCAATCCCGATTAGCACCGCGCATCTGAACCTATAACATCTTCATTTGTATTATTTCCTAATTATAGCCCAGTTAAATATCTATCGATTTTGTCACTTGAAGACCCTATCCTGACCTGAACGGACTCACCGTAAGCTCGCGAGCAGTACCCGAGACAATCACCGTGGGTTTCAACAAAGTCAGTCGTCAATAAATAAACTCTGAATAACAATAAAAGTCAAATTTTCTCCCATGTCACACAGGAGATTAAAATCCTGCAAATCAATGCGAAATAAATAATAAAAATGAAGGTAATTTTCCTGGATTTACATTGTTGGTGTTCCATGCAGATTATAAGAGACTTTTTTCTCACCCAATTGAATTTCATGAACTTCCTCTTTCATTGCACAAACCATTGCTGGAACTAAAAATTCCATGCAGTCATTTCTGTAGATTTGGAGACTCCCAGAAAACAATTTTTGCCAGTGCCATCTAAAATTTAACAGGACAGTGGCAATTTGTCGACAAATTGTCGACATACTGTTTACTAGGCTGTAAAATATGAAGTCCTACAGTGCTGCTGAAATCTTTTGAGATATAAAATTGATGCTCAATGATAATAGGGATTGAAACAAGGAGTTTCAATGAATTATGAACAATGAAAGAGGAAGATCATCGAATTCAATTGGGTGCGAAAGAAAGTCTCTTGTAGTCTATCATGGTACAATGTACAATATACCTATTTCGAAAAATGAATAACATCCAGGAAAATTACCTTTATTTTTAGGCTTTATAGAGCATTGATTAACAGAAATTACATGTCCTGAATATCATAACCCAGCACAAATTGGAACTGTCTCTTTCGCCTATCCTGGTAAAGGTCTCCTCTCTAACGCTCGGCTGGATCATTAAAATACTGAAAATAGACGAATCTAGGCTTCCTAGAATTTGTTTTATGAGACTCTCGCATTTATTTAGACATATCTCAGAAAATCGGAGTCCCAAACAACATAAAATGTGCGTAAATTACAACTGGATTTATTCAGTCAATCAGACCCTTCAGAAAATTGGTGCAGAATATTTATGGGATAATCTGAGTGCGAATTTCTCGTCCGAAAAAAAGAATATTTTAATTGACTCTCTCACAATTCACTTGAAGAATGAAGATTTGAACAGTTATCATAACTCGGTGAGTATCCAGATTCGAATACCTAGATTATTGTCAGTCAAAGTTGCGCCGTACTTGGAAGTAAGATGTCTATGGCCTTACATTTGTTCAATGATTCGGACCAGGCCCGCCACTTACAGATTCTAGCTTTATTCGTTTAAGGCCATCTCCCATAGAATCTCCCCTGCGAGTCTATGTGATGTTTATAATAGAAATGACCTAGAAACCGTTCTACAAATTTTCACTAAATGTCCCCTTCACAGCGTTCCAAGAAGTAATAGGCTACCCGAATTAACTGAGTCCGTCGCTAACCCTGGCTCTTTGCTCGAGCCACAGAATTTCCTAACTAATTTGCTCTGTTACAATACTGACCCGAAGAAGACAGTTACCAAAATTCATCATTTTTTATGTAACGCCATGAAGCTCCGACATTTTCATAATAGTATATTTCAGCACGTGTGGGGCAATTTCGTCTTTAACGTGTGTGGGGTTTACAGCACGAGCCGAAGGCGAGTGATGTAACCACACACGTTAAGGACGAAATTTCCCAACAAGTACTGAAGAAAATTTTATGTCACGAAGCCTGAAACCGGCTGAATTAGACACGAGACGCGAAGCGTCGAGTGTGTAATCCAGCCGGTTTCAGGCATGAGCCACCAAGTGATCTCTAAACTAACTCCTCTTGGGGGGCAACCAATGAGATCCCTCGGAGGGAGCCAATGATGGAGCTCAACAAATGAGATTAAAGAGAATCCAATGATCTCATTGGTTGCCCGCCAAGAGTAGTTAGTGGAGAGATCACTTGATGGGTTCCACATCTCCGTTGTGATCGCGAATTGTATAGATTCCTTACAGCCGCTAGTGTCTTTTGTGAACAAACTATTTATTGAGAATAAAATATGGTAATATCTGAGCCTGATAATAATGATGAGTAAAAACATTTTGTTTAAAATAAAATAAAGGGAGAAACTAATTTGGTCAAGGTTTAGTGTAATGGTCAGTCAGAAGAGTTGAATTAAAATGAAAAAAGGGAATAAAAAAATCAAGTATATAATTTAAAAGAAATGTTATTATCAACTAAGTAGAAAATATTAAAGCACGAAGTGAAAAAAATAATAATAACGATAATAATAATAATTATAAGAATAATAACTGCGTGACCTGCTATGGAATGTTCTATTCAACCCTAATTAAGAAGGTTCGCAAACTAAGTGCTTTCTTAATCAATTTCTGCATTCAGTAATGAAATTTTTTTTTCTTTCCCTCACTTCGCGTTGCGTACTTAATCACTTTGAAATGTAAAATTTATGTACGCCCCATTGCCATAGGGCATAGTCCCTGTAAGGCAGCTTATTGGAATAAATAAAAATAAATAAAATAAATATCATAACCCAGCATAGAACTCAACTCAGAGTTGAAGACATGAAACGAGATGTCACTTAACTCCGAAAATTATTTTTTGGACAATATCTCGGGATGTAACGAAGATACAGAGATTTTTGCTATAATCTTTTTTGTACATCTCATTCCTCCCTACACTAAAGATCTTTACCAAAAAATCGATATTTTACTTCAATTCTGATATATTAAAAAAAACTAATTGGCGACTGATTCTGGAAATAATTTTTCAATCTCTCTAAATATCCGGTAGATAGAAAAAGTTTTATAAGGGCTTTTTTGTAGATTTCATTCTGCTCTGCAAAAAAGATTTTTGCAAAAACTTCTCTATATGAGAGCACCAAAAATAAAAATATGTTTTTGCTAGGAAATTTTCTGAACTTTCCGCTGGAAAAAAATCAAAATTCAAAAAAGGATGGGGAACTACCCCAAATGACTGTTTGACACTTTCTTTTTGAGTTTTCCATGCCATGTATTTTACATAGACACATTAGAAGTAATATTTTTTTTGAAAAGTGGCTCGTAAGTGGAAATTAGTGGCTCGTAATTGGAATTGAAAAAAAAACGGTTCTTAGACAAAAAGAAAATTAAATGTTCAATATCTCCGCCACTAATTAAATTAGAGCGCTCCAGTTGAGCTCATTTTTCTTCTTTTAGGCTGTACTTTGCGATAACAATAGAAGTAAATTTCTAAAAATTTGAGGCAATTCTTTACATACAGAATTCGCCAATGTAGTGACGTAAAAAAAAGAATATGTCCAATAGTGAATGTTTTGGAAACTAAGGGGTTCACGGTAATTTATCAAGAGACCTTCTCCAAAATTCTTACGGAAATGCATCTTGCACGATAATAAGTACATGAATTCTGCTGTTGTCTCCTTGCATGGTTCCATGCCATTATGAATTTCCGTAGCGAGTGAAAAAATGCTGTATCTATGATTATATTTTTACTCTCATTTTTGTATCACGTTGTTTACTGTGAATCAAAATTCTTAATAAACAAACGGCTTAGTTGTCTCCTATATTGTTCATAAAAGGAATTTTTAAAGGAAACTAATTTATTCAATTCCATCAGATTACTAAATAAATGACGGTGGACATGGGTAATATTTGAATGTGAATAAATACTAAGCCAACAAATCACTGGGTCACAGCTATTCAAAAATATTATATAATAATTTTATGGGTCATAAGATATGGACATATGATGAATTTTTAACTTCTCGACCCGAAGGGAGGAAGTTATCGTAATGACCCCAAAAATCGAATGTGAAATTTCCATGATTTCTCCACAGTTTTTGGCTTCTAGAATCATCTTGACAGGGTTTTGAAGACGTGTGTGTGTGTGTGTGTGTGTGTGCTCGTGG